TGAGTAGTTCAGTAAGAACATCGCCCCCAAAACAAACAGTGCTCCAAATAATAAACAAATGGGGGGTAGTGGGTGGGTGAAAGAAGATGAAAAAGAGATCACCACAGGCAAGGGAATATCTATGTTGTAAACCAATGCACCCAACCTCAACATGAATAGTACTCATGGTCCACTAGGAGGCAAACCTGGGACTTCTAGTTCTCCAAAAGAGTGTATCCAGGTTGGGGGGCAAACCGCCTCTGATCCAGGTGTCGTCAGCCAATACATGGAGCTGCAAAGGAAGAAACCAGTCCAAACACCTCATACATCTGCTGAGGTGTCATGCCTCTTCAGGCCACTGTGTGAATCAGAGTTGTCGCAGTCAATCCCCCTATACTGGGGACTACATGTGCTTGATGGTGATGGTGGGGGGGGGGGGGGGGGAACACTACCCGGATCTATGATACCCAGCACCACAGTTGACAAAACAAATATCCATCGACAGGAACCAAAATCTATTGACTGGAAATAAAAACTCCAAAGAAAAATGAAAAACACAGAAAAGAAAAATAGTAAAAACTAAGCTGGAAAGCATGACCTAACTCCTGAGACACTAGGAAATAACTGAACTCCTTGCTGAAGATAGGGGGGGGGGGGGGGGAATTGGCCACCTCCAGAGGGCCGCCTCCTGGGGTGTGTTTTTAGTTAAGATGCACCGAGCATCCTGCTCCTGTAGATGGCGACATCAAACCCATCCATCATGAAGCATGACTGTGTCCTTCAATGAACAAAAAGAGAAAATATAATACTTTTTATGGATAACAGAGAAGTACCTGTCATGTTTAGTTTCTTCCTATAGCAACAACTAGATATCAACTATAGCTTATCTAGCTTTTTTTTTTTTTTTTACCTGTTCCACATTCAGTGCTTCACCTCCAAGATACTGTAGAACCTCAGTTGTCTCACTGCAATGAGAAATGACTTTTAGACAACAGTTCAGAAAACTTTGACAAGTATGTGACTGAAAGAAAATGTCGTTGTTTTGCCCACATGAATCAGCTTTTCAATTTTATGCTTCCAGTGCAAATTAAAAATGGAGAGAAGCTGCCTGGTAGGCCAAGGGAAACATTAATGGTTCTTCATCAAATTCATGCAGAATTTAATGTCCACTGTAAAATTGTTTCTTTTTCTTTTACAGCATACAGTGTTTGACAGTGAATAAGTTCAGGAACTCAAACTCCCATCCTTAGTTGGGTGAGTAGTGATATGGCGTGCCATACATGCAGCACCCTAGGATGGGAGGGTCTTAAAGGGGTATCGTTAAATAAAACTGTGTGCAAAATACACAGGCTGTTCATATCTCACTGGCTAGTATACAACCAAAAATGACCTTCCACTAAATTCTCCCCAAATCCAAATCCAGTGAAAAAAAAAACAAAAAAACTCCCCCCCCTAAAAAATCCTAACTTCTGTAAAACATACACGGCTCAGCCATAGCATTATGACCACCAAACAAAACCCAATGGGATATGGACTCCACTAACCCTCTGAAGGTATGCGGGTATCAAGCTGTCCGTAGTAAATCCTGTAAGTTGCACAGTAGGGCCTCCATAGATCAGACTTGTTTTTCCAGCACATCCCACAAATGCTAGCTTGGATTGAGATTTGGAGGCCAAGTCAAAACCTGAATCTTACTGTTGTGTTCCTCAAATCATTCTTGAACTCATCAGATCAGGCCACCTTCTTTCACTGCTTCATGGTTCAGTTCTGATGCCTATGTGCCCGTTGTAGGTTCTTTTGGCTGTAGATACGAGTCAACACAGGCACCTTGACCAGACTGTGGCTATGTAGCCCCATACACAACAAACTGCTATGCACTGTATGTTCTGACACTTTTCTATCTATTTCAGCAATCTAAGCTATGGCAGCTGTTCTATTGGATCGGACAATATGGGACGGCATTCACTCCCCATGTGCATCAATGAGCCTGCTGGTCCATGACCCTGTCACCAGTTTCCCTTCCTGGAATCATTTTTTTTTTTTTTTTTTTTTTTATGTCCTGACCACTGCAGACTGGGATCATCCCACAACAGCTGTAGTTTTGAAGATGCTCTGATCTAGTCATTACATTTTGGCCCTTGTCAAAGTTGTTTAAATCCTTACACTTGCCCATTTTTCTGGCTTTCAATACATCAACTTCAGGGTCAACATGGTCACTTGATGCCCAATATATCAGTGCTTACTTCTGCACCTCCAGCCCACCGCATGACTCTCCCCTCCCGTCTAAAGCTCACCTCTGCAACCCACCATCCAAAACTCGCTTCTATACCCCACCATCTACAACTCACGTATGCACCTCACCATCCACAACAAAATAATTCTCTTTTGTGCTAAAATATTAAAGTGCAATGTGCCCTGTACCATTTCAGCAATTCTTACATTTGCACCCCCGTACCCATTTTTCACCAGTGCTCACCTCTGTACCCTATTTTCAGTAATGCTCACCTTTGCACCCCCCTGTACTCCTCTTTCACCAGTGCTCATCTCTGGTTTCCCCCCCCCCCCTTGCACTCCTCTTTCAGTAGTGCTGACCTCTGCATCCCCCCCACCACCTTTGTCACCAATGCTTACCACTGCATCCCCTGTACCCATTTTTCAACAGTGGTCACCTCTGCAACCCATCCCCCACTTTATTCAACAGTGTTTACCTCTACATCCGCTGTACCCTCTTTTTTACAAAAGCTCACCTCTGCACGCCCCAACCCATTTTGCACCAATGTTCACCTGTGTACCATCCCTTTCCTTTTTTACCAGTGCACCCACCCATCTTTCACCACTGCACCCCAGACGCTCTGTTCACCTGTTGTGGCATGGTTTATGGCAGGACTCCAGTTCCTAAACCGCCTACAGACCTGAACAGGAGGGAGAGTCCAAATATAGCTGGAGGGATTGCTAGGTGATGGGTGGGCAGGTAGTGCTAGTGTCTCAAGTATTGACATTGCACTCATTCCCTTCAGAGGTGAAGGCAGGTGCTGCAGAAAAATACACAGTATAGATCTCCTTTGAACTGAAGCCACAAAAGCCAGGCACAGCTGCTGGTTAAAGGAGGGCATCATCGCCACAAACAAGTGCTCTTCTATCCTTGTTCAGGCCCTGAGTGCAGGGGAAGGGAGTTTTGTGTGACAACCGCAGAGAAAGCTCAGCTGTGCTGTCATTTGTAAACACAGAAGCCATAACAGTTAGTGGTGAGCACAGAGCCAATACTAGGGGAAAGAAAAAAAAAAAAAGCCCTGACAATATAGAATTATGTAACCACTGAAAGCCATTATTTTTCTTTTTTAGGGGGAATCTTCCAAAGGAGGACACTAGTTCTTTTGACCACCAGGGATTTCCCTCACTTTGGAGGAGTTTCCTACCACTTCCTGCTTTGGCTATGAGACACGAAGCAAGAGAATCTCCTCAATGGGAAATAGAGGACAACAACCTGGATACCTGGACCCTAGAGACGTTGCACAGGCAGTCCAACTCCTCTAGGATACGTGCCGTTGCCAGAAGGTTTGCTGTGTCTCCCAGCACAGTCTCAAGAGCATGGAGGAGATTCCAGGAGACAGGCACTTACTCTAGGAGAGCTGAACAGGGCCGTAGAAGGTCCTTAACCCATCAGCAGCACTGGTATCTGCTCCTTTGTGCAAGGAGGAACAGGATGAGCACTGCAAGGGCCCTACAAAATTACCTCCAGCAGAACACTGGTGTGAATGTCCCTGACTAAACAATCAGAAACAGACTTCATGAGTGAAGCCTGAGGGCCCAACATCCTCTAGTGAGCCCTGTGCTCACTGCCCGGAACAATAGAGCTCGATTGGCATTTGCTATTGAAAACCAGAATTGGCAAATCCACCCTGTGCTTTTCACAGATGAGACCAGGTTTACCATGAGCACATATGACAGATGTGAAAGGGTCTGGAGAAGCCATGGAAAACGTTATGCTGTCTGTAACATCGTTCAGCGCGATCGTTTTAGTGGTGGGTCAGTGATGGTCTGGGGAGGCATATCCATGGAGGGACGCACAGACATCTACAGGCTAGACAATGGCACCCCGACTGCCATTAGGTATTGGGATGAAATCCTTGGACCCATTGTCAGACCCTACACTGGTGCAGTGAGTCCTGGGTTCCTCCTGGTGCACAACAATGCCCGGCCTCATGTGGAGAGAGTATGCAGCCTGTTCCTGGAGGATGAAGGAATTGATACCATTGAATGACTCCCACGCTCCCCTGACCTAAATCCAATAGAACACCTCTCTGGGATATCATGTTTCAGTACAGCCAACGCCGCCAGGTTGCAGCTCAGACTGTCCAGGAGCTCAGCAATGCCCTGGTCCAGATCTGGGAGGAAATACCCCCATCCACCATCTCATTAGGAGCATGCCCCGACATTGTCAGGCATGCATACAAGCATGTGGGGGCCACACAAACTATAGAGTACCATTTTGAGTTGCTGCAATGAAATTTCAGCAAAATGGACTAGCCTGCTACATCATTTTTTCACTTTAATTTTCAAGGGTGTCTTTGACTTCAGTCCTCTGTAGGTTGATAATTTTCATTTCCATGAAACGATGGGGCATCCTTACATTCCTAACACATTACACAGTCCATATCAGTATAGATATCCAGCATGATATTTTTCCCCATTGAGGTCTGATGTGTTTTCAAAATGTTCCTTTAATTTTTTTGAGCAGTGTAGTTTTCAGTCTACTTCATGATCTCCAATTTTTAATTGTGAAGTTTAGAAAACAACAAACAGCAATAAAATAATATCTGATATAATCTGATATCATTCTCACCTAATCTTGGGGAGGAAAGATGTTTTGTATGCATGTTCAATACTCTGAAGGTATGGTAGAGCAACTTTTTTTTCAAAAGCCTGAAAACAAAATAGTGTGATGTAGCAGCAGAAAGACAAACACAAGAATCAGACAGTGCACATATAGTTTGCATGGAATGAAATATCAATCTAATAATTCAGATGAAAAAAAAACGTACATCTCCTCTTTCTTGAATATTCTTGTACACATCAGCAGCTGGGACATCCACATATATAGCTACATGTGGAGGCAGGAATTCATCGATGCTTGCATCCTTTATCTCGTTATAATGAGTCACACCTAAGACAGGAAAGGCAAGATAGATAGATATAGTAAAATGCACTAATCAAACTGAAAGGTCAGTAAATAACAGTAAGTGACTAAGAATATCAAAATTGGTGACATTTATACATATAAAACTAAACCGCTCTTGATAAATTAAGATGTCCCTGTTGAATTAAGTTTAAGAATACAGCTAGCAGTCAAGAGAAACAAAATGGGGTTGATTTACTGAAACTGGAGAATATAAAATCTGGTGTAGGTGGTACACCAATGAAAGCATGCTTATCTCATACCTAAGGGACTGTGGAAGGTGACAATCACTGTAGTAGTCACCCACTACTTAAAATGATCACCTAAGTCATATTCCAAACGGCTTCCCTTCTACACAGTGACCAGGGGTTAGGGGTGGCAGTGGATGCTTGCTTGACACTGCTGCCATTCACAGAATGCCTTGTATTTTTCAGTGAATACCAGCCGTTCTCTGATTGGAGAATGAGGAGATTGTGACTTTGCCACCCTGCCTTCTCTACCTCATCCGATCAGTGAAAACCTTGTATTCATAATAAACCCCCCCCAAGAAAACAAAACAAAAAAACAGTTTTTGAACGTTGGCAGTACCAAGTGAACAACCCCCTGTCCAAGCTAGACCAATGTAACTATGTAATAAATATCATATCTAGACTTCAGCTTTAAAGTGGATGTACTTACCTGCTGTGTGCAGTGGTTTTGCATAGTGAAGCCTGGATTCTCCTTTTCTCAGGTCCCCCGTCGGCGCTCCTGGCTCCCCCTTTCTGTCAAGTACCCCCATAGCAAGCAGCTTGCTATGGGGGGCACCCGAGCAGGCGTGTTCCCAAGCCTCTGCTCCATGTGTCTATTCACAGATGGGGCTGTGGCTGCTTGGCCCCACACCCTCTCCTCATTGGCTGACTGGCTGTGATTGACAGCTGTCTCAGCCAATGAAGAGGCAGAGACCTGCAACAGCAGGGGCTGTTGTGCAGATCGATGGATCGCAATGCATAGAATGCATGAAGGTAAAAAACCTTGAACCTTTACAACCACTTGCATTCTCTGAATTAAGGTAAAAAGAAAAAACTTTAACATGCAGTTTCCCACACAGCCCCACCTAAAAACTCATCTGAGCTGGACCTCAGTCCAGTGCTGTGCACATGTGCAGCATCTCCTCTCCTGGCTCTCACAGGCTTGGCTGAGAGCAGCGGGAGCCATTGGCGCTAGCTGTCAGCTAAAACCTATGAGGAGAGAGCAGGGATGAGGCTGAGCCAAGCTGTGTGTCTGAATAGACGCAAACAGCCTAGCTTGGGAGCAAACCTGCACGAGTGGCCACCATAGTAAGCAGCTTCCTATGGTGGACACTCAGTGGAGAGGAATAACCAGCAGTGCCGGCAGGGGACCCTAGAAGAAGAGAATTAAGGCTGCTCTGTGCAAAACCACTGCAAACAATATGATTTTCTTTTTAAATATTCTCAGAAACAACCATCCTAACAGCTGGAACCACTTGGTAAGTAACATAATTGTCATGTTAAAGTGGAACTGCTCTGCATCCGAGCACCACAAACCAAAAATGCTATATAAATTATTTTTAATGGCCATCTTGAGTAAGAGCAGATAAAGTAGCATTTACTTCCGGGAATCCATCTGCCCTTAGCTCAGAATTGGGATGAGCTGAGAATTCTCCCTCCCCTCCTAAAGACTTCTGGGATGAATGACATAATTTGCTTAGGCATTGAAATCATGAAGTAACTGGAGAAGTGCAAAAAAAGGTTTAAAAACAGTAAATATGATATACTTTCCTATCTTTTTACTAATAATAGTAGCAGAAGGATTTTAAATAGTCCATGTTGATTGAAAGAGTGAAGTTCCACTTTAATCTAAGAGAAAGTTAATCTATACAAAAAGGAACCACAAAAAAAAAAATGTGTGAACAAATTATGCATTTTTGATGTAGTGACATATTTTACTTACACTGTGGGCGAATGTATTGATTCTTTAACATGGCTTCAAGGAAAACATAATCACTGAAGGGAGAGCGTTCCAATATCACTCCCTGACCTTCAAAAAATAAAAATTTCAGTTATTTGTACTGAATTTTGTTATTTTAAATATATTTTTATGTAACAGTTTCCAACTAAAAAAAAATTCCTGGCTTAACATATATGATGTTTTATTGATACTAGCAGTTACAGAGGGCATTGTGTTTTGTTATAAAAAGGTCTGTATTGTAATCTCAGAGGAGTTCCTGACCTCAAATATATTCCATTTCTTGTTATTCATATTAATGTATTGCTGAAATATGGACGGCACCACTGGATGTATAAGCAAAAAACAAGGAAGGAGAAACTCCAAAAAAAACCCCTGAAAAATATAAAAATATAAAGAAGAGCAGCTATCTAGTCCTTGAAACCAAGGTGATTGTAAGATAATAGATCAATTAGAATAGCGCTCCTCACCAATTGTATACCTATTGATACAAACCAATTGAGGTACGCATCAATATTGGTGCAAAAAAGGAAATAAATAAAATACATTAAGTGCAACTATTAGAAAATAATCAAAACGCACAAATCATGCATATATGAAAAGTTACCAAGTGACTATATAAATCAATAATCATAAATAAATCAGTATATATATATTATATATATATATATATATATATATATATATATATATATATATATATATATATATAAATAAAAAATATTAGATTCTCCAAGATTTCTTCTTATTAATCCTTCTGTGCAAACCAAAACCACGTGACATCCACCACAAGAAATTAAATAAACACATCAGAGCTCCATGCTGGTAAAATTATGTAAATGTATGGGTGAGCTGCTGTTGTCAGTTTAAGACCGGAGCTAACCAATTGTTATTTCCATGCGGTATATGCTAGAGTTGGCTGTGAAATCTTTTCATCGTGAGTGTAATTGAAGCTTTTAACATAATAAAATGCCTGGAAAACAGGAGAAGTTGTGTCCCTGAAAGTTTGTAAAGCTCGCCATACACTATACAATCTGATTGTACAATCTCCTTTAGATTTACCATTGTTGATGTTAGATGTAAAGTGCAACATGCCAAAAATTACCATGAGCTACTTTGCTGCATGTAGGGCAACCCAATAAAATCTATGCAGCGGGAAAACCAAGCCAAAACGTGTACTCCCAGTACACTAGGTATGAATGGGGCCTGAAAGTGAAATTGGTGTGTTTACACAAGAACAATGAGGCTCCATTCACATCTGTGCATTTGCGAATACACAGCAAACTGCACAGAAAATGCGCGCTGTCACGCATTTTGGAAACATGCTTCAAACGTGTTGCACTTGAACTGCCATTAATTCCTAATTAAATTTTCTGATTTCATAAATAATTTTTTTGCTAGGAATTAAGACTCTTGGCTCAGAAAATACTTGTTTTTTTTTTCCCCCTTGAATTGCATGCTTTATTATACCTGTGCGTAGAAGATGTTCTAAAGCGTCTGCATATTGAATCATGCGCATGCCGAACATCCAGTTCTGTAGGCGGTATGAATTTCCATTGGTGCTCTTTGGGTCTTCATAAAACTTCTCCAGGCTGCAAAGGCCAGCAAATTTTCCATCAGTAATAGTATTGTCTAGATAAAACTGATTTGCTTCAGGGAAATATTTCATACCTGTAGAAAAGAATAAACCTATAATGCAACACTTGCAAGACGCACCTCAAATCCAAATAACCAATACCAGCGTTTGCTCATCATCCAGTGGACTAAAGTGACACACTTTTGAACAAATTCATTACGCTGTACTTCTCATGCTGGGTACACACAAGGCAATTTTCTAGCAATTTCAATTACTTTCAGCCAGCTTTTGATCGCAAAACGGACCAAGGGGACATGTCAACATCCCTGTCATAAAAATATACTTATAAATACAAAAACCATTCTTGGTAGGTTCTCTTTATTTGTTCTATCATTTTGCTGATTGGAACAGCTGGAAAAATGACTTGTGTATACCTGGAATTACAATGCATTTACATTTAAATGTTTACTGGCAATTTTCTATATTTTTCCAATTCTATTTACAAACATTCACAGAGCACACACCTATCAATATTGCTTTATAAACCAAGGTATCAATAAGTTTTTTACCAAATGATACAATGAACCATAATAAAGACGACTTTTATGAGATTTGAATTCTAATTGTTTCTGTGCATTAGTATTTTTACTAGTGATGCACCGGCCGAAAGTAGGGTTATCAGGATTTTGCCAATTAAAAAAAAAAAAATTGACATTGCAAAATCGTGTCCCATTGACTTCAATGCAAAAAGACCGCCATTTAAGTTTTTCATTTTATATTTTTTAATTTTATTTTCTGTCCAATTTTTGTGTTACTTTCAATAAAAGTTATTTTAAGTTACTGGATTTAATTTTTTTTTTTAAATTTATATTCTTTTAAATTCATGATATTAATGAAAAAGTTGAAAATAATACAATTATATATAAAACATTTATTTTTCAAAAAACTGCCCATTTTGGTTTTTGGCCAAGTGCATCCTGAATTCTCAGTTTCGGTCTAGAGCTTTTACTTCGGTGAACCACAAATTTTTTACTTAGATTCAGAAAGAGAAAATGGTTGGATGAAGACAAGAACAGAATGAGATCAGGAGAGGAAAAAGGAGAAAATGTATCAACCATTATAAACAGCAACAAGTGAAAGGAACAAAAGCTCACAAAGGAAGATAATTTTTGCCACAGTGTGGGGGGGGGGATAAAAACACCTCTTAGTCACCTGTCACCAGAACAGGGAAATTAGAATACATAAGTGAGAATGGTCTAAGAGGGCAAAATGATTACTTTACAGAGATTTCTTTTCACCTATTGTAAGAGTGGTTGTAAATGCTCAAGGTTTTTTACCTTCATGCATTCTATTCTAAAAAACCTGCATGCAGCATTCCTCCCCCATACTTATGTCAATCACAGCCAGTGAGGCAATTAGGAAAGAGCAAGGGGCGGGGGCCGAGCCACGCTAGTGTGTGGACACACATAGAATATATTAAAGTGAAGCTCCACCCAAAAGGGGAAGTTCCGCTTTAAGCCCTTGTCCCCCGCGACCCATTAAGGATTGACACCTTTGGGGAGGGAGCGGGGGGGGGGTACCCGAATTTGACAGGTACCCGCTCCCCACTTCCACTGTGATCGCCTAGGCGATCGGAAGCGGAAGTCGTCCTCCCCCCCGTAGTCTTCTGGGACACGTGGCAGGTGCCAGAAGACTACGGGGCCATTCACAAAGGGCAGTGCTTCTCACACATGGGCAGTGCTTCTCACACATGTGCAGTGGGCACCCAGCTGTGAAGTCGCAAGCTGTCACAGCCGGGTACCCACGCTGAAGATGCCGGAGCCTGGGAGAGAAGACAGTTGGTGAAACCCACCGTGGTGAGGACACCGCTGGACCGAGGGACAGGTAAGTGTCCGTATTTTAAAAGCCAGCAGCTACAGTTTTTGTAGCTGCTGACTTTTTTTTTTCTCAGGTGGAACTCTGCTTTAAGTTAAAAAACCTTATGGCTGGAAAATTGTCCTACATGCTAGCTTGTGAACGGGACTTGGGGGAGGAACTTGACTTGGCTGATTGGTGGTCTTGGTCTCCTCGCTCATACAATATTATGAATGCCAGCTTGGCAGAGGCCCGTTACAAAAGTACTGTCCAGGTGGTACCCAGTGCTGGACCCGGTGCATCTCTAGTACCAGGGAACTTCCCCTTTGTGCTTTAGGGGGTGAAGCCAGCGCAGTAGGTTTCACAACTGGTGAACCTGTACTAAAGTTCATCGGTTTTGGGCGAGAGTTCACAAACGGATTTATACTGTGACCATGGCGAGTATAGTGAAAAAACCCAGAGTGGCTCTCCTCAATAAGCCTGCCGCTAATGTTCCCAAACACACTCAGTCCCTTATCTATTTTATGTTTCTTGTGGCAAATCGCTATAGCAACCACCTGGAAGAAACCAGTAGTAGATTTAGCGGTTATGAAACGTACATTGATGTGAATCATGCTAAATGAAAAACTGGTCAGCATATTGAAAGATAGATCCTCTAGGTTTGACCATGTTTGGGATCCTTGGATCAAATACGTCTAAATTGCCCCTAGTATGTGTATGTATGAATGTGAGTTAGGAACCTTAGATTGTACGCTCCTTGAGGGTTAGGGACAGATGTAAATGTATATAATATATATATATACACATATATATATATATATATATACACACACATATATATATATACACACACATATATACATATATATATACACATAACATACATATACATACATACATATACATACATATATATATATATATATATATATATACACATACATACATACATACACACACACAAACATGTAAAGCATTGCGTAAACTGATGGCTCTATACAAGTACCTGTGATAAATAAATACATCCAACCTCCTGATTGATTGCAGTGTGAGACAAGAGAAGTTGGCTATCAGATAGACTTTCTAACTCTTTCTCCCCCACTTCTCTTTCTTTCCTTCTCTTCATCCTCCTCATTTTTCCTCTGGTACTATGCTAGTGCTCCGCTATAGAGCATTCTGTATATCCATGTCTGCTGGAGGGTGGGTTGTGGGAATGCTAAGATGTTATCTCTTTTCGAGTCCCCTGCATAGGGTTGTTGTATGCCTTGGCAGGGTAGTTTGCAACAAGTTGAGATTATATTTTTCCATTTTATTTTTAATGAATGTTGAATGCTCCACCTTTATAGGGAGTGTTTGCTGGTCCATGGTCACAATCCAAGACAGAACCTGCCGTCACTGTCTCCCAGCAGCACACTAACAGAGGGAAGAGCTGACATTAACAGTGCTGCAGAGGCTTCATGGTCCTAAAACAGAGGCTGCACTGGTATCCCTTTCTTTGACATTTTAGATAATTTTAACGTTATTTAAAGGAGTTCAGTAAAAAGCTTTGCCCTTTCAGAACGACCAAGCATTCGGGCATAAAGCTGGAAATTAAAAATGATACATGCACCTTTAAGTGTTATCACTTCATAACTTCTAGAAGCTTTATTATTTTAAGTGACAGAATCACTTTCACTCTTCCCACAAATGAGAAATAAAAGATAAAAAAAAGGCAAGGTTACGTTTTAATAACACAATGAATTGACTTACCGAGCCTTTGTGCTAGTTCTTGTGCAAGTTTTCCTTTGCCGGAGGCCAAGTTACCGTCAACTGTTACGACCTTACTGTTTGGTCCAAATCGTTTGGATGTTCTTTCCCCCAGCAAGTATGCCAAGTTGCCATACTGAATCCCATGCTTTGAGCTGATATGAAACTGAGACTATTCACAAGATATTCAATTAAAAGCAAAGAAAAAAAAAAAAAGGTCAAGATCATGATAATAATTAAAATAATATTAATAACCTATTGATATTTAAAACAAAAGCTGTAATCTACTGCATTATATATCATGGAAAAATAGAAAACTGACCAACAGATACAAAGAAAAAAAACCCTCAAAATATCAACAGATATTTCTTATAAAAGCACTAATGCAGGCCATAGACTGTTCGTTTATTGGCCGAATTTTCGTCCGAAAGAATAATCGGCCGATTTTCGCACTGTTAGTGGGGCAATGACATCGGCCGATTTTCGCGGTTCCTCCTCATTTCGTTTAATCGGTCATGCTGGAAAAATTTGTGAAAAACGGCCAATTTTCGCAATCATTGGTTGCAACATCGGTTTAAAGAACGATGTTTCATTTTTCGGCCGAAATAAATCAGCCGATAAATGAACCATGTATGCCCTGCATTAGGCTTCGTTCACACCAATGCGTTTTTAGTGCTTTTTGCAGAAACGCACTACAGTCGATTTATCATGGTTTCCTATGGAACATGTTCACATCTATGCTTTTTTGAACTGCTGCGCTTTTAGAAAGAGTCACGGACTTATTTAAAAACAAAAAGTAGCATTTTTGCTACAATAGAGTTCAATGGAGAAGCCACCGAAATGCATGGTAGTACGTTTTTGCAAAGTTTTGCATTTTTATTCTGCCCAGCAACAAAAAAAATCCACTTAACCTCCCTGGCGGCATGATTATTTCAGATTTTTGGTGCTGAAAGCGGTACCATTATTTTGCATGGAAATATGTATTTTTTTTATTGTAGACCCGTAATTTTTAGGAATAACTCACTGAAATCTGTCCGAACAAGAGTCTAGTAAACATTCCGAATATGATAAAACTTGAAACACGAAATCATAAATTACAAAGGTCATCTTCTTTATGTTCCTTGATGGTATGTCTGTGCAGATTCATCCTTGTTTGCAACTTCTGTCCTGTTTCGCCAACATAAGATCCTTTGCTACACTTTCTGCACTGGATAAGGTACACAACATTACTGGAGGTGCAGCTGTATGAGGAAGGTACACAACATTACTGGAGGTGCAGCTGTATGAGGAAGGTACACAACATTACTGGAGGTGCAGCTGTATGAGGATGGAACTCTGAAAGAAATATTCCAGCAACCCCCAATACTGGCCTTCAGACAACCCCCAACCTCAGAAATAAACTAATCAGTAGGAAACTTCCTTCTGATTATGAGGTCACAAATAAAGGATGCAAACCCTGCAATAAAAAACGCTGCAAACTGTGCAACCAAATCAATCCATCACAAAGTGTCAAACACTCAAAAGGGATCTTCAGTATCTCCGGATCATTCAGCTGCACCTCTAGTAATGTTGTGTACCTTATCCAGTGCAGAAAGTGTAGCAAAGGATATCATGTTGGCGAAACAGGACAGAAGTTGCAAACAAGGATGAATCTGCAAACAAGGATGAATCTGCACAGACATACCATCAAGGAACATAAAGAAGATGACCTTTGCACACTTGTGGGACACCATTTCGCACAACCAGACCACATTACGGAAGACCTCAATGTTTTAGTTCTTAAAGGAAATTTCAAAAACTATTCAGGAAAGAAAAACGTTTGAACTAAGAATGATAATTCTATTTGACACAAGAGATAATGGCCTTAATTTGGACATGGGATTCCTCAATCATTATCCAACATTTTTATGACTCCCTCTGTGAGTGTTGTTCTCCCCCCCCCCCCCCCCCCCCCAGTCTTTGCTTTTGCTGTGTCTTATCTCTAGGCTAACCTTAGCTTGTGTTTCTTTCTGCTTTTTTTCTTTTTTCCTCAATCCCCATATATCTTCTAACATTCTGCTGAAACTTTGTAACAGTACTGCTTGGACCTTGAAAAAGGGGACACTCCCCGAAAGCTTGTACTCAAATTTGTATGTTAGTGCAAATAAAAAAAAGTATCATGGGCAGTACTGAATTGTTTCTATCGCAAGTGCACTAATACGGCTACAATCACCTCAAGCATTCTTATCATAAGAAATACATGCATCCCTTGTGATAGAAATAATTAGTGAAAGGGCCTCTTTATGGTGAGATATTAAGACCCCACATATCTCCTCTGCAATGTAAAGCATTGGATAAAAAAAAAAAAAAAAAAAAAAAAAAAAAAAAAAAAAAAAAAAAAAGCATTGATCTAGTGCTTTAAAAAAAAAAAAAAAAAAAAATATGGCTGGAACCAGAAAGGACATCGCTCCAGTCCTCCAAGGGCATAGAGATGAGTGGAGGCCATCTTTCATTCACTAATCTCTATGCCCAGTGCCAGAATCGGTTGATGGTTTCTCAAGTAAGGCTGAGAATTACCAAGTGGCGGCCAGGGTTTTTTCGGCACCTTTATCTGTGCCTTTTTTCATATCGGCCGATAGCCAAAAGAGGTATTTTCGGCCGAAACATTTCAACCACTGAAATTTCGGTGCATCCCTAATTGGAAGCATTTAATACAGCACTATGGGAGTTTTCGTTTATCCCCAAGTGAAATGGCTGGAGATGATATCCTTAAAGGAGCACACACTAAGAGAATCCTGCATTGAGAAAAAAGGCTGTCCGTGATTATTCCCCTAGAAGTGGAAAAAGGTGCTTTAGACCTATATCCCTCACAGCTCCACCATACCAGGTAAGAAGCTCACCACACAAGCAGTGGAGCAAATATGGAATAGCTATTTTGAGTAAAGCACTTGCTTTGAGGCATTCACGTTTTTTTTTTCACAGATACAGTGCTCACCATAAATTAGTACACCCCAACAGATTTGTCAGAAAAGCTTTACTTTCCTTTCAGAACCAACATTTTCTATGGGACACTATACTACAAAATACTCCCACAAATGCAGGACATTGACTGCAAACAAGATTTGTTAATTTGCGCACACAAAAAAGTATTTTTTCTAACAAATTCATTCATGACCATGTTGCAAAAATGAATACACCCCAAAGTAAGTCAAATGCCCCGTACACAAGATAAGAAAATCGTACAAAAATTTTTGCAGAACCACTGATCAAACGATTTTCTCTCATTGATGAGCAGGAAGTTTGCAACCGATAATGATATTGTGAATGATAAAATCCAGTTGAACAACAGTGAAAAATGTTGTTTTGCATACGAACGGCTGATTTTCTATGCAGTGGTTTGACGGTCGTACAAAAAAAAAATCTATCAAGCACTATCACGCATGCGCGGAAACAGAAGATGACTCGGATGTTTATGTCCAAGGAATCTTCGTAAACACGAACGAAAAATCCAAATGTTAAAAGTAGATTGGCCTAATGAGATAATGAAACCAGAATTCTGCATATTATATTTTTATGTATCACTATGTATATAGTTAATGTAATAAACGATATTATACTCATTGCTGTTAATTGTGTAAATCGCTCGTTCTGGCTGGAAGGGTGTGGCTACAAGGTCACACGCACACTGCATCACTTCCACTTGTACGGAAGACGTCAACACCACATATTGCCCGACGATTTTTTTAGATTGGTTAATGTGGGCCACAATTTTGACCAACGAACGAACGCCTCTCGGTTGTCAGATGACCGATCAATCGATTTTCTAATTGTGTATTCCCACCTTTAGGAACAAAGCTAAAATTTTAGACAACAAAATCCTAATTAACAAGAATTCAACTACAGGTGAGTCTAATTATTCACTAAACAGGTGTCCAGCAGAAATTGGTTATAAAAGGGCACTACTTATAAAAAAAAACCCTTCCCACTTCATGCTGTCAGCAATTGCACCACATGGAAGAGAAATGTCACAAGGCCTGAGAAAGAAAACAATTTCTTTACACAAGAAAGGTGAAGGGTACAAGAAGATCAGCAAAGCTTTACTTATCAGTCAGAATACTGTAGCAAAAGTGATACAAAAATCTAATAGAGATGGAACTGAAACCATCTCACAGAGTTGTCCAGGCCGCCCCACAGACGTTAACACCTCGACAGTAGCATCTTCTGATGAAAAGGGTTGAAGAAAATCGACATGCAAGTTCACTGCTAAAGCTAAAGAAGTAGAAAGCCAAACTTGGGTGATAAATTCTCGTGACACAATCTGGTGTACACTGCAGAGGAATGGCATGCCTGGGTGTCATCCACGAAGGAAGCCTCTTCTAAAGCCCATGCACAAAAAAGCCAGCCTAAAAATTGCCAGGGAACATGCTTAAAAAGAAGACTACTAGGATTCTGTACTCTGGAGTGATGAGACCAAGATAAATGTTTTTGGAACTGATGGCTTCACAAATCGCAAAGAAGTACAAACAAAAACGCATGGTGCCTACAGTGAAACATGGTGGTGGCAGTGTCCTTCCGCGGGGCTGCATGAGTGCTGCTGATGTAGGGAAGCTGCATTTCATTGATAGTATCATGAATTCACGGATGTCTATATTGAAAGAGTAATGCTACATCAATATGTGCCCTTGGTCGTCGTGCACTTTTGCAACAGGATAATGATCCAAAACACACATCTAAGGCCACTGTTGCATTTCTGAAGAAGAACAGAGTGAAAGTGATTCAGTGGCCAAGTATGTCTCCTGATCTGAACACAATCGAACACCTATGGGGAATTCTGAAGAAACAAGTTGAGCATCACTCTCCATCCAGCATCCAGGCTCTAAAAGAGGTCATTATTGAAGACCTCGTTATTGAAGAATGGAAAAAGATAGCTGTTGTAATATGTCGCCAACTTGTTCATTCCAGGTCTAGAAGACTTGGTGCTGTTCTTACAAATCATGGAAGTCATACAAAATACTAGATGTAGTAGTTTTTGTTGTGGGATCTATTCATTTTTGCAGCAACTAATTTTGTGTAAAACATAGAATATGCAGCGCTAAATGTTATGTGAAACTATGATAAATGAAAATGATATAGTCCCAAATGAAAAGTCCTCAAAGACAGAAGTAATATATATCAAAAGTGCTCCATGCAGTG